TTATACTATTGTGTATACCAGATTGATTGAATTCGAAGTATTTTAAAGATGATGAAATGAAAATAAAAGTGATTTTGATGCAGCCAAAGCAGATTACTATCATCTGGTGCACTGACTTTGGATGCATCAAAAACAGGTTTGCTATACAAATTTTATCTTTTATTTCACATTCTACAAAACATTTCTAATAAAACCTATAAAATGTATCCAGTATGCAAAGGTGACTCAACTTTAATGTAAAAAGTATATCAAACTAAAGGTTATTAGAATGAAAACTCCCATTTTTTCAAACTTTGGTTTAAGCAATATGTATGTGTTTTATAGTTGCTGTAAGTACAGTAAGGGCTTGATTTTCTAAACTTATAACTTAATTTGACAACATTCTCTCCTTTTCATTCTGTATGTATAAAGCATAACAAGGATAACGCGTTGTCAAATTAATTCTAGGTTTATGGATTGAGCTTTGTGTGTATACAAGGTGGCGCGTAGTACTTGGCGGCGTGGCAGTGGGTCAGTGTAGTGTAGTGTGGGGCTGTATACTGACTGGGCGCGTTCCTGGTGCGGGGCGAGTCTAGTTGGTTGTGCGTGGGGCCGTAGTACTTGGCGGCGTGGCAGTGGGTCAGTGTAGTGTAGTGTGGGGCTGTATACTGACTGGGCGCGTTCCTGGTGCGGGGCGAGTCTAGTTGGTTGTGCGTGGGGCCGTAGTACTTGGCGGCGTGGCAGTGGGTCAGTGTAGTGTAGTGTGGGGCTGTATACTGACTGGGCGCGTTCCTGGTGCGGGGCGAGTCTAGTTGGTTGTGCGTGGGGCCGTAGTACTTGGCGGCGTGGCAGTGGGTCAGTGTAGTGTAGTGTGGGGCTGTATACTGACTGGGCGCGTTCCTGGTGCGGGGCGAGTCTAGTTGGTTGTGCGTGGGGCCGTAGTACTTGGCGGCGTGGCAGTGGGTCAGTGTAGTGTAGTGTGGGGCTGTATACTGACTGGGCGCGTTCCTGGTGCGGGGCGAGTCTAGTTGGTTGTGCGTGGGGGCCGTAGTACTTGACGGCGTGGCAGTGGGTCAGTGTAGTGTAGTGTGGGGCTGTATACTGACTGGGCGCGTTCCTGGTGCGGGGCGAGTCTAGTTGGTTGTGCGTGGGGCCGTAGTACTTGGCGGCGTGGCAGTGGGTCAGTGTAGTGTAGTGTGGGGCTGTATACTGACTGGGCGCGTTCCTGGTGCGGGGCGAGTCTAGTTGGTTGTGCGTGGGGCCGTAGTACTTGGCGGCGTGGCAGTGGGTCAGTGTAGTGTAGTGTGGGGCTGTATACTGACTGGGCGCGTTCCTGGTGCGGGGCGAGTCTAGTTGGTTGTGCGTGGGGCCGTAGTACTTGGCGGCGTGGCAGTGGGTCAGTGTAGTGTAGTGTGGGGCTGTATACTGACTGGGCGCGTTCCTGGTGCGGGGCGAGTCTAGTTGGTTGTGCGTGGGGCCGTAGTACTTGGCGGCGTGGCAGTGGGTCAGTGTAGTGTAGTGTGGGGCTGTATACTGACTGGGCGCGTTCCTGGTGCGGGGCGAGTCTAGTTGGTTGTGCGTGGGGCCGTAGTACTTGGCGGCGTGGCAGTGGGTCAGTGTAGTGTAGTGTGGGGCTGTATACTGACTGGGCGCGTTCCTGGTGCGGGGCGAGTCTAGTTGGTTGTGCGTGGGGCCGTAGTACTTGGCGGCGTGGCAGTGGGTCAGTGTAGTGTAGTGTGGGGCTGTATACTGACTGGGCGCGTTCCTGGTGCGGGGCGAGTCTAGTTGGTTGTGCGTGGGGCCGTAGTACTTGGCGGCGTGGCAGTGGGTCAGTGTAGTGTAGTGTGGGGCTGTATACTGACTGGGCGCGTTCCTGGTGCGGGGCGAGTCTAGTTGGTTGTGCGTGGGGCCGTAGTACTTGGCGGCGTGGCAGTGGGTCAGTGTAGTGTAGTGTGGGGCTGTATACTGACTGGGCGCGTTCCTGGTGCGGGGCGAGTCTAGTTGGTTGTGCGTGGGGCCGTAGTACTTGGCGGCGTGGCAGTGGGTCAGTGTAGTGTAGTGTGGGGCTGTATACTGACTGGGCGCGTTCCTGGTGCGGGGCGAGTCTAGTTGGTTGTGCGTGGGGCCGTAGTACTTGGCGGCGTGGCAGTGGGTCAGTGTAGTGTAGTGTGGGGCTGTATACTGACTGGGCGCGTTCCTGGTGCGGGGCGAGTCTAGTTGGTTGTGCGTGGGGCCGTAGTACTTGGCGGCGTGGCAGTGGGTCAGTGTAGTGTAGTGTGGGGCTGTATACTGACTGGGCGCGTTCCTGGTGCGGGGCGAGTCTAGTTGGTTGTGCGTGGGGCCGTAGTACTTGGCGGCGTGGCAGTGGGTCAGTGTAGTGTAGTGTGGGGCTGTATACTGACTGGGCGCGTTCCTGGTGCGGGGCGAGTCTAGTTGGTTGTGCGTGGGGCCGTAGTACTTGGCGGCGTGGCAGTGGGTCAGTGTAGTGTAGTGTGGGGCTGTATACTGACTGGGCGCGTTCCTGGTGCGGGGCGAGTCTAGTTGGTTGTGCGTGGGGCCGTAGTACTTGGCGGCGTGGCAGTGGGTCAGTGTAGTGTAGTGTGGGGCTGTATACTGACTGGGCGCGTTCCTGGTGCGGGGCGAGTCTAGTTGGTTGTGCGTGGGGCCGTAGTACTTGGCGGCGTGGCAGTGGGTCAGTGTAGTGTAGTGTGGGGCTGTATACTGACTGGGCGCGTTCCTGGTGCGGGGCGAGTCTAGTTGGTTGTGCGTGGGGCCGTAGTACTTGGCGGCGTGGCAGTGGGTCAGTGTAGTGTAGTGTGGGGCTGTATACTGACTGGGCGCGTTCCTGGTGCGGGGCGAGTCTAGTTGGTTGTGCGTGGGGCCGTAGTACTTGGCGGCGTGGCAGTGGGTCAGTGTAGTGTAGTGTGGGGCTGTATACTGACTGGGCGCGTTCCTGGTGCGGGGCGAGTCTAGTTGGTTGTGCGTGGGGCCGTAGTACTTGGCGGCGTGGCAGTGGGTCAGTGTAGTGTAGTGTGGGGCTGTATACTGACTGGGCGCGTTCCTGGTGCGGGGCGAGTCTAGTTGGTTGTGCGTGGGGCCGTAGTACTTGGCGGCGTGGCAGTGGGTCAGTGTAGTGTAGTGTGGGGCTGTATACTGACTGGGCGCGTTCCTGGTGCGGGGCGAGTCTAGTTGGTTGTGCGTGGGGCCGTAGTACTTGGCGGCGTGGCAGTGGGTCAGTGTAGTGTAGTGTGGGGCTGTATACTGACTGGGCGCGTTCCTGGTGCGGGGCGAGTCTAGTTGGTTGTGCGTGGGGCCGTAGTACTTGGCGGCGTGGCAGTGGGTCAGTGTAGTGTAGTGTGGGGCTGTATACTGACTGGGCGCGTTCCTGGTGCGGGGCGAGTCTAGTTGGTTGTGCGTGGGGCCGTAGTACTTGGCGGCGTGGCAGTGGGTCAGTGTAGTGTAGTGTGGGGCTGTATACTGACTGGGCGCGTTCCTGGTGCGGGGCGAGTCTAGTTGGTTGTGCGTGGGGCCGTAGTACTTGGCGGCGTGGCAGTGGGTCAGTGTAGTGTAGTGTGGGGCTGTATACTGACTGGGCGCGTTCCTGGTGCGGGGCGAGTCTAGTTGGTTGTGCGTGGGGCCGTAGTACTTGGCGGCGTGGCAGTGGGTCAGTGTAGTGTAGTGTGGGGCTGTATACTGACTGGGCGCGTTCCTGGTGCGGGGCGAGTCTAGTTGGTTGTGCGTGGGGCCGTAGTACTTGGCGGCGTGGCAGTGGGTCAGTGTAGTGTAGTGTGGGGCTGTATACTGACTGGGCGCGTTCCTGGTGCGGGGCGAGTCTAGTTGGTTGTGCGTGGGGCCGTAGTACTTGGCGGCGTGGCAGTGGGTCAGTGTAGTGTAGTGTGGGGCTGTATACTGACTGGGCGCGTTCCTGGTGCGGGGCGAGTCTAGTTGGTTGTGCGTGGGGCCGTAGTACTTGGCGGCGTGGCAGTGGGTCAGTGTAGTGTAGTGTGGGGCTGTATACTGACTGGGCGCGTTCCTGGTGCGGGGCGAGTCTAGTTGGTTGTGCGTGGGGCCGTAGTACTTGGCGGCGTGGCAGTGGGTCAGTGTAGTGTAGTGTGGGGCTGTATACTGACTGGGCGCGTTCCTGGTGCGGGGCGAGTCTAGTTGGTTGTGCGTGGGGCCGTAGTACTTGGCGGCGTGGCAGTGGGTCAGTGTAGTGTAGTGTGGGGCTGTATACTGACTGGGCGCGTTCCTGGTGCGGGGCGAGTCTAGTTGGTTGTGCGTGGGGCCGTAGTACTTGGCGGCGTGGCAGTGGGTCAGTGTAGTGTAGTGTGGGGCTGTATACTGACTGGGCGCGTTCCTGGTGCGGGGCGAGTCTAGTTGGTTGTGCGTGGGGCCGTAGTACTTGGCGGCGTGGCAGTGGGTCAGTGTAGTGTAGTGTGGGGCTGTATACTGACTGGGCGCGTTCCTGGTGCGGGGCGAGTCTAGTTGGTTGTGCGTGGGGCCGTAGTACTTGGCGGCGTGGCAGTGGGTCAGTGTAGTGTAGTGTGGGGCTGTATACTGACTGGGCGCGTTCCTGGTGCGGGGCGAGTCTAGTTGGTTGTGCGTGGGGCCGTAGTACTTGGCGGCGTGGCAGTGGGTCAGTGTAGTGTAGTGTGGGGCTGTATACTGACTGGGCGCGTTCCTGGTGCGGGGCGAGTCTAGTTGGTTGTGCGTGGGGCCGTAGTACTTGGCGGCGTGGCAGTGGGTCAGTGTAGTGTAGTGTGGGGCTGTATACTGACTGGGCGCGTTCCTGGTGCGGGGCGAGTCTAGTTGGTTGTGCGTGGGGCCGTAGTACTTGGCGGCGTGGCAGTGGGTCAGTGTAGTGTAGTGTGGGGCTGTATACTGACTGGGCGCGTTCCTGGTGCGGGGCGAGTCTAGTTGGTTGTGCGTGGGGCCGTAGTACTTGGCGGCGTGGCAGTGGGTCAGTGTAGTGTAGTGTGGGGCTGTATACTGACTGGGCGCGTTCCTGGTGCGGGGCGAGTCTAGTTGGTTGTGCGTGGGGCCGTAGTACTTGGCGGCGTGGCAGTGACTGGGTCAGTGTAGTGTAGTGTGGGGCTGTATACTGACTGGGCGCGTTCCTGGGTGCGGGGCGTGTCTAGTTGGTTGTGCGTGGGGACCCGTAGTACTTGGCGGCGCTGGCAGTGGGTCAGTGTAGTGTAGTGTGGGCTGTATACTGACTGGGCGCGCTTCCTGGTGCGGGGCGAGTCTAGTTGGTTGTGCGTGGGGCCGTAGTACTTGGCGGCGTGGCAGTGGGTCAGTGTAGTGTAGTGTGGGGCTGTATACTGACTGGGCGCGTTCCTGGTGCGGGGCGAGTCTAGTTGGTTGTGCGTGGGGCCGTAGTACTTGGCGGCGTGGTAGTGTGCTCCGGCTCCGGCTCCGCTCCCAGCGCCGGAGCCCGCTCCGCCCGGCGGAGTGCCCGCTTGCTGCGCGTACTGTATAACGAAAATTCATCACTTGTAATTGTGACGTACTAAATACGTTATTTATTTCTTATGTTTTCTTTTATCGCATCCCAAACATTAAAAAAAGCACGAATTTTGCCAGCTCCGTCCAACGTCAAATATTGTATGGAAAAAGTTATTATTATATCTTAATATATATAAATCTCGTGTCACAATGTTTGTCCTCAATGGACTCCTAAACCACTGAACCGATTATAATAAAATTCGCACACCATGTGCAGTTCGATCCAATTTGAGAGATAGGATAGTTTAAATCACAAATTATAGTCGCAATTTTAATTTATTGCAAATTATTACTTTTGGGCGGTACGAAGTTCGCCGAGTCAGCTAGTACATATATAAAATTTGACGATGCGATACGAAGAACTGTGAACATTTGTGCTTGGGCCTCTGCGCGAAAACGAGACCTGTAATAGGATCGGAAACATTAAACGAAAAACATTATTTTCTGAATAAGTTTTTATTTTTATGGGGCTACTTCTCATTTACAATGACTTGTCTTTTTGTGAAAAAAATATGATCTTCGTCTCTGTAAGATCGTTGCGCACGCCTTCGCATCGCGTCGCCGGTACTAGCCACCGCTCCGTTTGCGGGTTCCGTGTGTTTGATCTTAAGCTTAATGGGTATGATCGAGTAAGTAGCCGCCCTGTTTGTGTACGCACCTGGTGGGCTTGAGGCGCGTGGGGCGGCGCGTCGACCATCTGCTGCAGCTCGGCGAGGGAGCAGGAGGGCGGCGCCCACCTGCCGCCCCCGTACTGCTGCTGCTGCTGGAACGACAGGTAGCCGCCCTGTTTGTGTACGCACCTGGTGGGCTTGAGGCGCGTGGGGCGGCGCGTCGACCATCTGCTGCAGCTCGGCGAGGGAGCAGGAGGGCGGCGCCCACCTGCCGCCCCCGTACTGCTGCTGCTGCTGGAACGACAGGTAGCCGCCCTGTTTGTGTACGCACCTGGTGGGCTTGAGGCGCGTGGGGCGGCGCGTCGACCATCTGCTGCAGCTCGGCGAGGGAGCAGGAGGGCGGCGCCCACCTGCCGCCCCCGTACTGCTGCTGCTGCTGGAACGACAGGTAGCCGCCCTGTTTGTGTACGCACCTGGTGGGCTTGAGGCGCGTGGGGCGGCGCGTCGACCATCTGCTGCAGCTCGGCGAGGGAGCAGGAGGGCGGCGCCCACCTGCCGCCCCCGTACTGCTGCTGCTGCTGGAACGACAGGTAGCCGCCCTGTTTGTGTACGCACCTGGTGGGCTTGAGGCGCGTGGGGCGGCGCGTCGACCATCTGCTGCAGCTCGGCGAGGGAGCAGGAGGGCGGCGCCCACCTGCCGCCCCCGTACTGCTGCTGCTGCTGGAACGACAGGTAGCCGCCCTGTTTGTGTACGCACCTGGTGGGCTTGAGGCGCGTGGGGCGGCGCGTCGACCATCTGCTGCAGCTCGGCGAGGGAGCAGGAGGGCGGCGCCCACCTGCCGCCCCCGTACTGCTGCTGCTGCTGGAACGACAGGTAGCCGCCCTGGTAGCCGCCAGCTCCGCCGCCGCCGCCGCCGCCGCCCGACATTGATACCCCACCTGATACACATAACGAATCAATATTACTATAATGGTGCAATATGAATAAATTTAAGAATAATTAAAACAAAAAATATACTATAACAATGAACCTAAAACTAAAAACCTTAAAAAATAAAATATAATAACTAAAATACATTATTAAAAGGAGTCCCTTTAGGCAAGGTTCCGAAGATACTGGCAGCGTTCCCCCTTTGGATAGCTAGACTTATTCTTTGTCCGAGGTAGCTGCCAGCTCTTCGGTCTCCTGTGATGTCGACTAATCTTTTCGCTATTTCTTTAAAAAGCCTTATAGCGCTAGGACCCCACGGACCAAGGGTCTCGACACCGAATGGGACAAAATCATATTCGGAGCCTAGACCCCTTTATTTGCCTGCCTTAACTTTTTCAGCCGCTTCACAAGCCGCACCAGCTCTGTTGTTGGTTCCATGTAGATGGGAAGGGGCCATTATTATTATATTACTATAATATATTGATGTTGTAAGCGAAAACGAAATGGTGTAGTTTTATGAAACCATGATGCGAGTGAAACTTTTAAAATCATTAATAAAAAAAAGAAGGTGGTTCCTCGGCTGGGAATCGAACCCGATCCTTCTACCGCTGTAGCATTGATGCTTTTTGGTAAGGTCAGTTTTTTTACAACAAGTATATTTTGTGTAAATTAATGAACGTGCTAAAATGAACGGAAAAAAAAATAGCAGTGTAATAAAAGTTTCACGTTAATAAACTACTAGATTTATTAATATAAAAATAAATACAATAATAGCATCCGCCAGGATTCGAACCAAAAGGCGGACTTAATTCTAATAGCATTCTCTCCCAGTCAACCTTTGGGGAAAAAGAAAAACGCGAACCTTACAACAGTAGTCTCGCGTATGATCTGTAACATTTGAAACCTAACCTGATATGAGTAAAAAAAGAAATAAAACCTACTACAAAAGCAATAAGACATTTGAACATTGTGGGGGTTGCTTCCCACACTTGAATGCTTGCTAAGGGTAAGGTTACTCCATGGAATGCTAAATAAAACCGAACCGTTTGAATGTTGTAAAAACACTAATTTATTTCAGTAACTAATTGTGCAAAGGAAAATACAATTGATCAGTATGCTTAAAGTAATCTAGTTCAATTTGAAATTATTATAATGTTGATTAAGTAGGTATGCACAGCTCGTACAAACATTATGTTCTAAAATGAAATCAAACAGCGCGCGCTTTCGCGACTTCCTGTTACACACTTCCGTCCTATTTCACGAAATCACTCCCATAAATTGCAGGAAAGCGAGAGGAAAGATGTTCATCATCATCAGCCTATTAATGTTCCCATTGCTGGGGCACAGGCCTTTCCTATGGATGGAATAGGGAGATTGGGTTGATAACCCACCACGCGGGCTCAGTGCGGATTGGTGGGTGCTAATGACTGCAGATGCAGCCGGGACCAACGGCTTAACGTGCCTTCCGAAGCACGGAGGAGCTCGAGATAGTAATTTTTGGTCACCCATCCAATGACCGACCACTGCGAAAGTTGCTCAAGTTCAACAATCGCAGCCGAACGCGCTAACCACTTGCGCCATCGAGCTCCTCGATAGGAAGATATCTATAGGAAAGATGTTACACATCAAAAACATTCATCTTTCTTTCTTTTTACTGACCGTGCGGTGGATGTGCGGGCGGGGTAGCGCGGTGCCGCGCCGGCGGGGTGGCGGCGGCGCGCAGCTTGTCCGCGCCGGACCCGGACCCGGAGCCGGCGCCGGCGCCGCTCGAGCCGGCGCTGCTGTTGCTGCCCGTGTTGTTCCTAAGCCCGGAACAAATATCTCGTAAACACCAGGGCTTGTTTACCGGTTAATTTTCAAACCTAAATCAGTGTCAAATACAATAGGAGCATTTTATTTAGGTTTGGCTCTACCTTAACCTTAAAAAACCGGTTTTTTTAAACGGCCTTCTAAATGCATCAATCTCTCAGCATTAACAAGTTGTGACTTGATTAGTTCAAACAAAACAAACTTCAAGCGAGGCCGACGCGTGCACGTGCCGCTCTGGATTAATCCGGTTTATTAAGGTTTTAGGTACCGCTTTCATTTCGAGACGCACTCCGAACGAAACCTTTACTAAAAACTGGTATTAACCTTTATTTTTTCTAATATTTTCTGTATTAACCTTTCAAGCCCTGGTAAACACAGATTTGAAAACTATTGAAACTTAGTACTGAAACTATAAGTTCTTTAAGCTTACACCAACAAATAAGAAATATTTAACCTAGCCCTGAAGAAAATAATTTGAATAAAAAAAATTGTGTGCATGAACTACACATCTGAAGGGAAACTTTTTTTCTTAAATTACCTAACATTAGACAGTGTATTAGGCATAGGGGAATGGAATAGCTCACGCTTCACTCATATACAGTGTGGGCAAAAAGGGGACATCGAAAATTTTTTTTCCGTGCTTTATACGATTTTGTTAATGATTTTTTTGCAAAATTGTGACTAAAAAATTTCTAAAAAAAGTAGAAGATTTCTTCGTTTGTTTTTCTGCTAAATCTTATGAACCATGCATTTATGCATTAAATTAATCTAAATAAACTTTCAAATTGTGTTAGATTTTAACTTTTCTGGTGGTCTGCCATTATTCTATTTATTCATCCTTACTGTATTTATATTGTTTGTATATTATCATTATATTTATTCATCATAAAACAAACGAAGTCTATTCAAAACCAATTTCATACATGCAACATTAAAAAATCAATACGTTACCTATTCCTGTTGTTGATCTTCTGCTGCTTCGGCGGTTGATTGGGTTGCGTCATGATGGAGGGTATGTGTATGGAGGAGTGCGGGTACTGCGGACTCGGCACCGGGTGCATATGCATCATGGAACACGGCGACGCCATGTCGGAGTTGATGCTGGTCGGAGACTCCAGGCCCAGCTGGCTCACGTCCAGCTCGCAGGCGGGGTACTGCACCGAATGCACCGAGTTGCTCGTCGAGTCCGGCGTGTAAACACCCATCGACTGCAACGCAGGGCTCACGGCCTCGCAGAGCTCCTCCTTGCTCGTGTCTTTCGGAGAATCTTCCTTTTTGTGACCGCGCGACTTCTTATCGCTCTCCTGCTTATCCTGCGCGCAAGGCCCGTTCCCGTAAGCCTTGCAGCCCGGCGATGTCAAATGGGGACTCTGCTGCCTGTATTCGCAGCCCTCCTTGTTCGCCTGCCGCTGCAACAACTGCTTCATCTGCGCTTCTGCCGATTTCTTCGACTCGCATTGCGTTTGACACGCCGTAGTCTTCGACTGCTTCGAAGGTTTGCACTCGCTCTTCTGCGAGCATTCCGCTTTCGACACTGGCGTTTTAGTCTCTTTGAAGTGCGGCAATCCTGCCGTCGCGTATATACCGCTCGACAACGCTCCGTAAGCGATATTGTGAAAGTCCTTCTGGTCGTACTTCGGATGCAACTTTTGGGGCGATTTCTGCATCTGCTCCAAAGGCGATAGATTGAAACCTTGGAATTTGTCCAAATAGGTTTTGTCGCTGTTCTTCATCTCCAGAAACCTATTCGGGTCCCATGTCCCTTGGAGCCGGGTCGGGTCCCAAGGCGCCCACTGGTATTGCGCGTGGGTCGTGTGGTAGTTGGGAATCTGATTCATAGCATAATCCGCTTTGGGAACTAACTCGTTGTCATATTTAAATTTTGGCAAACCCTTATTAGAATCGTTCTGATCCGCCTTGATGAGTTGCGCCGTACAACTCTTGTCGTGTTTCACCGATGCGTTTTTTGAATCGCATTTTGCCGTGCTAGACTTCTCTTTCTTAAAAAAATCTTGTTTCTTTGGCGCCTCGTTCGTAGTTTTAGTTTCAGATTTGCTGGTTACTGGCACAGAGTTTATCACGTTTATTGGGACGGATGTCTCTGGTTTTCTGGTATTTGTATTTTGTTCAGGAAAAAACATTTTCGGTTCCGGTGTACTTCGCGGTGTATCATTTTTTGACTGCTTTTTTTCTGATTTCTCTAACTTACTGTGCGCCGAATTCACTCGCACGTCTCGCAATTTGCTTTTTTCCCTGGGCTTTAGGTTGGGATCATTTTTGGAATCCTGTGCGCTGGATTGGACGATATTCATAGATCCAGTCAATGAATTCTGCATTGCACTGCTATTCACGAAGTTTGGGTCCAAATCAGTTCTTTCCAAACCCATACTGACCACAGCGCTAGCACTTTGACACCGGGGTAAAAAACTTATATCAGTCACGTTTGGAACTTTCGGTATGACCGGGTTTATAATGGGCGAAGTTATGGGATGCGGCACTTCAAGTTTCGTCGCAGTTTTGCTTATCACGGGAGTTGAATCGATAGATCGATGATGCTCACTCGTCTTTATGTGTACTTTGTCTGTTTGAACACCTTGAGATTCTTTAGTTACGTTGATTCTATGGTTGAGAAATGAGTGCTGAGCCGAATTAATTTGTTGAATTGTCATTGAATTGCTGACAGGCGGAAAACTCGGCATAGTAGTTTCAATGACATTCCTTGTTATAATTATTTCATCTTTTCTATTATTTAGCAGATCATTACGAAATGAGATTTCATTTTCCTTACTTACTATAGGATTTAATATCTTATTTCTAGAGTCGGTCTCTACAAAGGCATCCATTTTAGGCGTTTCTAAGTTTTTTATAGTAGAGGATATATCTCTCTGTGGGTCTAAATTCTGAATGATGCTCTCTATTTTAGTAGGTGATTTTTTATCTGGAGTTTTTGCTTCATCGGTAGTTTGATGCTGGATGACAGTTTCTTTCCTCATTTCACTTTTCTTTTGTTCGTTTACATTCTCTATATTATTTTTTTCGGGAGTTCTTTTTTGCTTTGGCGATTCATTAATAATAATTTTATCACTTTTTCTAGGCGATATACAGGCTGGAGATTTTGCAGTATCAGACTCCCCTTCGACAACTATGGTTTCTATTTGGTGTGATGTCTTAGGGATCACTGGGTCTACCGGCGCTCTAATAGTATTGACTTCCTCTTGAACCTTAGGGTCTAAAACAATATGGGCATTTTCAGTTGATACAACTGGTATAACTTTAGACGGACTTTCGTTTTCTTCTATTTCTTTGGGCTTGTTTTCATTATTTTGAGGCACTGGTGCAACTATATTAGGTTTAGGTGAAGGTAATGGACCACTTTGACTATTATTATCATCAGACTCCGATATAATTATGGTATCTTTGTCGTCAACGGCTGGCTTAGCTGGCGACTTCATTTCACCATTTCTAGGTTCAGGCACTTGCTTTTCATTGAAGTCTTTAGCTTCTGTCTGAGACTCCACAACTTCACTATTTACTATGTTCGGAACATCAGTTTTACTATCGCTTTCAGCAGTTTCTTTTTCGGGATTTTCATTGATAGAAGTTTCCTGTATAATTTGATCCTTTTCGGCTAAGGATTTCGGAGAGTCCATGTGAATGCTATCTAGTTCCATATCACTGGTATGATGATCTGTACTATTTTCTTCCACGTTCCTCGGTGTCGCTGGCTTGCTAGGCATGCTTCGCCTATCTTCCCCTTCTTCCACGTCCATTTCATCATCTGCTTCACCAGACGAATCTTCCGAGCTAGCCTCGGAGTTCTTGTCCTTCTCCTCAGTTTTATCATTATTATTAATTATTGGTGAAGCTCTAAACTCATTCGTTATAGCAACAGATTTGTCATCCTCCTCCATAGAGTCATCTGTTTTGTTAGCAACAACTTCCTGATTATTTTCACTAGCTTTAGCCTTCTTAGGTACTGGTGATCCAGTTTTTTCTTTAGATAATCTGTTAACCCTTTGACGCTTTCGTGGTCGTCCCTTCCAGGCTATTTTCCGTTTTGTTTTAGACTTAGCGGAATTAAGAACAGGAGTGTTTACATTAATACTTTCTTCTTGACTTTCTTGGCTATCAGAAGCATATGCGGGTACTTTCACGCTTTTTCTTCTGTTTCTAACAGAACTAGCTTCTTCATTCACTTCAGATGGAACAGCCCTAGACGACCGTCTAGATACACTTTTACTTCTTTGTATTCTAGGTGTTTCGTCATATTTTTTGTCATCTTCGGCATTCGATTCTGACATCTTTCTATTGAGATCTCGTTTCCTCTTTCGACCACCATCAGCGACGACCGGCGTTGTCTGATATGTCGTTTCACTATATTTTAGAGGGCGCGTCCTCCTTCTACCAGATGATGTCACTTCTACTATCTCTTCGGGTAGTTCTTTATCTACAATCGCTGCAGAATTAGCTTCATCCTTAGGTGCAGTTAACTCCGGTTCTGTGGCTGTGTCTTCACTTTCTGTTTTGAATCCAGCTTCTTCTGTTTCAGTTTCCTGATCGCCTCCAGATCCTTCTTCGGGCGATCTGAACGGATTCACCGTGGACGCTAAAAGCGGCGTCCACCTCAAGCACTCAGGATCGATTTCTAATCGCGGTCTACTCCTCAACTTCTTCATGTGATTTTCGACTCTATTCCAATCTACACAGAGACCTAATTTAGCAGAATCATCATTTGGGATGTATCTTACAAAACCTAATAACTGAAACGTGATAGCAATGTCATTTATATGCATTCCTGTCATATGAGCTATGTCTTCGAAGGTGAATGGTTTCTCTTTATGATCAGCGAGATATTCGAGAATAACAGATTTCCAATAAGCGTGATAAGAGACTCTTCCGAGGTCCGATAGAGGTTTTTCCGGCGTACCTGGCTGCCCCTCTTCTTTGGACAGTAGATAACCTGAGAAACAAATAGTTTGTTTAATTATTAATATCAATAAAAATAAATGCTATAAGTTTGTAAATATGAAAAAAATAAGAAAAGTAGTCAAGATTTCACCACTCACTAAAATGGATGAGGAACCTCCCGTAGCCCTGTCGCTGGTACTGGGGCATCGTCATTATGCAAGACACATTGTACTTCTGTTGACAATGTTTCTCTTTGGAAAAGTAGCCGACTAAGTGGCATCCTTTGCTGTCATTTTTGGTGAGGACGTAAAACAGGAATGGTTCCACGTCATAGTAAAGGGTTTTGTGGTCGAGGAACAATTTGGCGAGTAGGCACAGGTTCTGGCAGTAGATCTTGTTGGCGTTGCCGTCCACTTCGAAGACGGATATGTCGCCGCAGCGGTAGATCTCTGTGGCGGGCGGATGCCGCCAAAGGCATTTGTCGAGGTGTCGCATCAAAACTGCCCGACTCTTGGCGTATTTGAGACAGAACTCGCAAAGGAATAGCTTCGGTAATCTGCAAGGAAGAAGCATAATGTTATTGTTTGGTAGCAATTTGTTTCTTTATGTACCTGTGATGTGCAAGAGCAAATATTTTTGAGCTTTATGTCGGCACTTCGTATGGCTACTAATATTTGCTATTTGTAAACTTGGCAACAGGGAGTGTAAAGGAGACCTTCACACTCCCTATATCTTATAACCTGCTGTCAAAATGACATATCAATTACGAATAGCCATTTGCAGTGCATTATATTCTTCCTCAAATGCTTAAAGGGCAAATGACCTCATTTTCAAGATTATCTTATTTGATAATGATTAAAAAAAATTACAACCCCTAAAATACGCCCACTGGCCTACCCTAAGATAGAATCCAAAACAACAAACATTACCACCAAGACTGCTATGAAAATAAGTCAAACGGCTCTTTGAATTATTATTCAAGTTTTGTTTGTATATCAATATAATATTTAGCAAATTTACTGTAAGGGGTGCTTCGGAAGGCCCGTTAAGCCGTTGCACGTTAGCACCCGCCAATCCGCACTGTCCGCCGCCCTATTCCATTCATAGGGAAGGCCTGTGCCCCAGCAGTGGGGACATTAATAGCTCATGATAATGATGACTGAAAGGGGCTTAAAATCGGAAACCATCACAAACTTTGGCTACTCACCTAGCGTACTCCTGCGGAAAGGGGCTCGAGTACCACGTCTCGATCTCCCATTGGCCGAACTCTATAGCGGAGGGGCATCGCGGCGCCACTTGTAAGGCTGGCGCCGGAGACGGAGCGGCAGCGGAGGCGGCAGCGGGCGCGAGAGCGGGAGTAGTGGGAGGCGGAATTTACAAACCATTACAAACTTCAGCTACTCACCTAGCGTACTCCTGCGGAAAGGGGCTCGAGTACCACGTCTCGATCTCCTATTGGCCGAACTCTACAGCGGAGGGGCATCGCGGCGCCACTTGTAAGGCTGGCGCCGGAGACGAAGCGGCAGCGGGCGCGGGAGTAGTGGGAGGCGGAATTTACAAACCATTACAAACTTCAGCTACTCACCTAGCGTACTCCTGCGGAAAAGGGCTCGAGTACCACGTCTCGATCTCCCATTGGCCGAACTCTATAGCGGAGGGGCATCGCGGCGCCACTTGTAAGGCTGGCGCCGTAGAAGGAGCGGCAGCGGAGGCGGCAGCGGGCGCGGGAGTAGTGGGAGGCGGAATTTCCGCTTCTACCGCCGCCGGCCCCGCCGCTGCCATCCGAGCTTGGTTGAACAATTCCGAATCGGCTTCCGTCACACCCGCCGGTAACCGCTTTTTGTCTGCAACAAATTCGTTTTGCTGCAAATTTCGTTAGCATCGCAATAGTAGTAGCGAAAGCGTTCGAGACTTTTGTTAAGTTAACGTAAATAACATAAAATTAATGAGCAATGATTAAAATGTAATTGAGTTAAATAAAAACAAGCTCCAGCGGGTTGAATGCGTTAATTTATTTGTCCCTTGTCGTTTCGCATTTCTTTCAGGCTGCGTCGTCAGATTAACGGCAAAAAAAATTAACGAATTTAACCTGTTAGAGCTTGTTTTGTTTAATGAGTGGTGTGCGTGAAAACCTAAGAAACAAATATGTAATAGATTTAGTGAAACAGTTTAAAAGCGCAATTACACTTGGCCGTTAGCTCTTATACGATTGCCTGTGGAATTCGTACGCCTGTATTCGTTTTGGCATCACTGAGGTACGTTTTAACTAGAACGCGGGTGCAGGGTCGTTTGCCCGTGTTTCAATACCCAAACGTGAGTAAAACAATGAAGTAATTGCATTGGGTGCCTGAAATCGAGTAATGTCTTTCATGCACCCGAATATGGGAAAGGCCTAAGTGTAATTGTGTCTTTAAAGTTTATTAGAATTTTAACTGTTCTTGATGTTTGAAATCCGTTTCAGACTCCGTTATCACAAGATCATATTTATGTAAACTACTTTTGAGATGCTATGAATGAGTAATGGATTTAATAAAAGACTATTTAATATTAATTGGAATTTTATTTCAATCTCGATGTTTGGGATGTTTTTCTGTCTCCGTAGTCACAAGATCTTGTGATTACGGAGAAAAGTTTAGGTGTTTTGATAAATGAGTGATTTGAGCAGAAATATAAGGAACAAAAATGAGTAATAAAATTATAAATGTGCAAAGTAAAAAATGCCTGCCGGTTTTGTTCTTTGGTAAGTTAAAGGGGATGCAAAGCGACATAAAACTTGACTTGCCTGCTCTCAAGATTAATCAAAATACAAATTTAAAACATTGATTTGTCTCGTTTTTCTGTTTTCAGAAAATGTACACTGAGAGCAGACGAGCGACAGCGAGAATCTTTCAGCGGTGAAATTCATTAAACATCGCTCTGATTTCGTCCAAGGACCGGCGCCTCGCCGATAGATTCTCACGTTAAAAACATTCACGCCTCAACTGAAGAAGCGCGAGCGAAAGTGCATGTGTGGATACTGCCGAAACCCGATTAACAAATGGTTTGTCATCGGCGCTCGGTGTCCGTAACAATCAAGCTGAACAAACCGACAGCGCGAGGCTCACTCACCCCCGTCCGAACAGAGAAACGAGCGCGCGTTAGAGAGAGACAGAGCGAGAGACAGAGAGACAGCGGCGAGCCGGCCATCAATCAGAGCGAGCGGGACGGTCAGATCCACCACGTCACTTTCACCGCACTCACGAGCCGATCTTACCCGTCTGATCGGTGGCCGGCCCGCCGCCGCCGCCGCCGAGCGCTAAGCCGCGGGACAGTTTATCCGCGTCCGCCGCGCAGCCGCGCTTGTCGCCCGCCAGGTGCCTAACCAGCGCCGACGCGCTCAGGCGCGGCGCCGAGACCCGCCCCGCGTCCTGCCCCGACCGCCCTGCCGACGCCCGAATATCCGCTTCGTCCGACACCCGAGACGCGCGCGCGCGGGACCGCGACCGACCCCGAATATCATTCTCGACCGACACCCTCGAAACGCGCGCGCGAGACCGCGACCGACCCCGAATTTCATCTTCGACCGGCGCTCGAGAGACGCGCGCGCGAGACCGCGACCGACCCCGACTTCGATCCTCGACCGGCGCTCGAGAGGCGCGCGGGCGAGACCGCGATCGCTCCCCGGTTTCGTTCCCGGCCGACGTGCGAGAGACGCTGGCGCGGGACCGCTCGCGGGCGACGCGCGGCCCGCCCAGCGACGCCTGGTACTCGCGGAAGGTGCTGCGCGTCTCCTTCAGCACCTGCCTCCCGCGCGGGTCCCGGGCGGGGCGCGCTCGGGACTGGGAGCGCGACGCCGAGCGCACCGAGTAGAACTCGGAGAGGCCGTCGAACAGCGTGGTGAGCAGGCGGTCGCCGCACCGGCTGCGGCGGCGGTGGCGCGCGGCGGGGTCGGCGGGGTCGGCGGGGTCGGCGCGAGCGGCGGGCGGGGTGCGCGTGCGCGAGCGGCGGCGCTGCTTCTGCGCCTCCGCGGCGAAACCCCACGCGGCGTTCGAGCTCATATCGGCGGCTAGGCGTTCGAACACCGTCGAGAACCTATCGGGCGGCGGCTCCGGCGGTTCCGGCGGGAAGAGCGGGGAGGGCGGGCCGAGCCGCAGGAGACGCGGCGGGGAGGGCGAAGGCGGCGGGGACGGGGAGGGCGGGCGGCTGACGCGCAGTTCTAGGCGCTGCACGCGCGTGACGCGCACGCCGCCCCAGCGGGCGCGCGGCTCCCCCGACCCCTCCCATCTCTCCCAGTCGCTGGACGAGTCGCGCCGCCGCCTCTCCACGAGGTTGAACGCGGAGTATCTAAAGAATTTCTGCTTCTCCTTGGACATTCTCTGTTCGGGCGGGAGGCGCGCGGGCGGCGGATCATTACCGTCGGACGGCTCGTCTTGGGAGTCGGTGCGGCGCGCCGGCGCACGGGGCTTCCTCCCTCGCGGCGTGCCGCCCATCGTCGACCTATGTGGAATACTTTTTGAGTATCGACGCCGATAAAACCGATAAAATACTAAACTATTTATAAATCTGAAGAAAATTTTACTAGAAAAAAAAGTCCACTCAGTATAGTTTGCAGACTAAATGCTTAAACATACAGAAACCTAAAAATGAATTAGTGTAAATCGTACATATAACCAGAATAATTCCAATATGTTATTTGTATCTAAAAAAAGAATTATAAGCAATTTTAGTTCATTTAAAAGCATTATCGACTTAATATAATTTAGACTGTGTTCAAACATAACTGAAAAGCTTATAAAATGAATAGCTTGAATGGTTTGTGTACGCATTAGTGTTACCGTGATGTTGGGCAGGTGCTGCAACGCCACGGCAGCGCCTGGCAGCGCGCGTGCACGTGTCTCTGGCACGCGGACACGCAGCGCGCCACCCACCCGCCACTGTCCTCCCCCTCCCCCTCCCGGTCCCCGTCCCCGTCCCCGCCCCCCTGCCCCTGCCCCGCCCTCCCCCCGCGCCGAGACCCGCCCTCACCCCCACCCTCGTCCCCACACGTCGCGCACGACCCGCACTCGCCGCACGACCACCGCAACGACTGCCGACAACAATACCCCACTTAGAAACCTCGCCAGTAATAATCAATTTTCCAATTACAATACAAAGTCATTGATTTGCCCCCAGACCCTGTAGCATGACCACCACAATTTACATTATATCCAGTCTAACTGTCAATCTCCATAGTAATTTGACACTTGAGCGTGATAATATTGTGCTGCTCATGCTAGCAGTGACTGGAGAACTTTTTGATTTCTCTAGTCTATAAGTTCACATGACCAATATTCAAGCAGCTTGTGCATTTGCACTTAGTTGGGGAGATTATGTGAACAAATCACTATTGTTACTTATTTTTTTAACTTACTTAATTAAAGTTTATGCATCCTTTAATGCACATCATGTGGTCTTTAATTAAAGCATCACTTGAAATTATAATTGTAGTGAATGAAATGTAATATTGTAATTGTAGTGTTTGAAATGTGTAGTGAATGTCTTATTGGTTGTCTTAAAGCTGCAGCTAGTGGCTAGTGCAAGACATACACTTGCCTAAAAACCACAATGACTGCCACATTTAAAAATTACACCCAGCTCAAACCCTGGCCATGAATAACCTCACCATCATAGATCTGTCCATTTGACTTAAATATTAATTAGTTTGGAACAAAAAAGTGAATCGGTATGTACATTTCACTTTCTTAGTGTTACAGTAACAAGTAATTAGTGGATCAGCAGGATAGGGTTTTCATTTGACCCTATTCATAATCCCTATATATAACATTCAAATAAATCTACTATATAAAAATAAGTCGGGTTTTCCTTCCTGACGCTATAACTTCAGAACGCACGAACCGATTTCCACGGTTTTGCATTCGTTGGTAAGGTCTCGGGGTATAAACCCCACGGGGGTTTATAGCAAAGAAAATTCAGGAAAAATTATAAAAAAAATCTTCTTTTAATCACCAAACGAAATGTTACATAAAAAGAAGCCATCTGGTGGCGAAACGGAGTTTGCCGGGTTTGCTAGTGTACAATATAAATAAATAAAAGCAATATATATTTCAAGTGATATCACATAAGTGCAAATGTTTTGGAGTGACTTTAGGTTATAGTGCAGGCAATAACCAAAATAGCTTTTCTTTATTCATTGAGAATATTTTCTTAAATATCAACAAGAATAGGTGAAAAAAATTGACACACATTTTAAAAGATGCTGTTTTGATTTGAATCATTCAATGCCAATCAGGTAAGTAAAAAGATGGAAACATTAGGTCCATAGTAAAGTACAGACTCTACCCCCCTTATTAATAAACAAAGACTATGCTTGCATTAGTAACTCTGTTTTGTCTTTGTCTGTTGAATGTCAAATAGCACTTGAGTGGCAGGAACAAAACACAGCGTAACTAATCTAAGCAGAATCCTTGTTTATTAAAAAGGGAGTACATGAGTAGAGACTGTTCTTTATTATGCATCTACTCTTACTTAACTGACATTCATAGCTTAACACCTTATGATGCACAATCAAATGCTTGATAGTTTGAATAACATTTCAAAAAAATATTTCTTTCTTAAAAGCTATAAGAATAACTCAATCAGATGATGATAATTTTTCACTATTATAATCATCCTAAAAACATACTTTTAAAAATGGTAGACTTCCGATAACTTGATTAATTACCTGCTGGTACTGTTATCATAAATAGACTTATTTATTATAAAAAGTAGACAACCATCAACGCATTCAACTATACAAATCTACAGAAAATTATGAAAAACTTACTTTTAGAGTATTTAGATTAACGTGGTCTAATAGATTTAGGCACGTTGGATGGACGTAGGACTTGCACTGATGGCAACATATGAGGGCTTCCGCAGCACCCAGACCATTCCTTGTGTCTGTCCCAAGGCACTCAATACAAACAGGCACACCACCCTGAATGTGCGACTGAAAAGTTAAATATTCCTTTTATCTCTTAGATTTAAATGAGAATTTTATTTCCTTATTACAAAATCAGAACAAGAATCAATAACAATAACATATTAGTAAATTAGAAAAGAATATTTCAAATTTCTAATACTTCCTTCATAACTAGAGATCAGATAATCCAATGCAAATATACCTAAAGTTGAGATGTTGGCTACTATTTAAAACACTTTATAGAAAAAATCTAGCAATTCCGGTAAATTCAAATTAAGGTGTATACTCGGTGAGATCTAAAAACCAAGTTTGACACAAATAACAGTAGCCATGTGTGTATAACATTTAAATATTGTATAAGATGTCCTTAATGAATAAATAAAATCATATTCATTTATGTTTTCTTATTAACCACACCACCATTTTATGTTACACCTTACTTACACACATACTGTAAGTAAAGTTTAAGTAAACATACTTCCAATCAGTTATTCATGCGGGAATCCCAAGATTTTAATAGAAATATCCTAAGTAGCCACTTCCATAATTTGTTAGATAAAAACCAACTTCAAGTAAATATACCTCAATCAAATATACCTCAAAAGTGCTTTTTTTAGCTGACTTCAAAAAGGAAAAAGTTCTCAATTCAGCCAGTACATTGTTTGATACAAGTAAACAAAGAAAGATAAATATATAAATAAACTATCCAAAATGCTAATAATTTTCTGAAGTAATGATTCGTCATAAATCATAAAAGAAAACTGAAAGGTTTACTCTACAAACTATCTTACAATTTTATTTTATGGCATGTTAAAATAAAAACTTTAATAGTTAATTTGATTACTATGCACCAAGAATTTGTGCTAGAATAATTCATTGTTTACTTACTTGTTCAATTAAATCATAAGTCCGCTGTTGTTTTTTTGGCGACCTTTCAATAGAAGGCTTATCAGGAGCTTTATAAGCCCCCGCACTGTGAGTGAGCAAACCTCTGGCTACGGCACGCTTTGCAGCAGTTCTCAAAACACTACGGAAGTCAATTTCATTGGATATCACTGTCACTTGGTAAGCTTGCCGCAAATATCTCTCAATAGATTTCAGTGTTGATCCTTCCCGTTCGCCCAATTCACGCACTGCTTTAGCTATGACGCGAGATAAGTCAGCATCAGCTGACACTTTAAGTGTCCTGTTTTGTGTCCCCTCTGGATCCTTGTAAGAACTCTGCCCTTTGTTATAAACTTTTAGAACAGCCCCTTCGCGGACTGCTCTTTCCAACCGCTCCGAGACCACATCCTCATGATAATTATGATGTTGTCTAATAGCATGACATATTCTTTCCACACTGGGCCTCTGTTTTTGTGCCCGAATTTTGTATATCGCTCCCAATATCCATCGCTTCCACACTTCTTTGCCAACGTCGTCTGGATCACTCATCTTCGCCAATAATTATTTTGTACAGCCGTCAGAGTAACGGTACGGTGTCAGAGCAGTGTCAACACCCATCGTATTTTGGCGCCTGGAGCGAAATTCCATCGTATGGAATGGAATCTCGCTGAAAGCGACCGCAGTGCTCAACTTTAGCACTCGCAACCGGCTCACAGCACGTTCTCGAGGCGCTTCGTTGCCGATGACACATAGGGCCCAACAACCGGGTTTTGGCGGAGCAGGCATCTTATGGCGGCCATCTTGTGGCCAGCTAAATTTTACGTACAACAAAACACGCGACGTAAATAAGATTTTAAAGCAACACTTCACATAAATAAACTTTCACACCGATATTCAATACTTTCCGGCTTATTATTATGCTTATTAACAAAGAATAGGAGAACAAGAGGAGATAAGACAGTTCTTTCCGGTTTTTTTTCTCCACAATGCTCCTTCCCCAAACAAACAACACAATCACTCAAAGTTGAGTTATTTTGACTTATTGTGTAAAAGGTATTTTTTTGGTACTTTCATCAGCTTGATATCATTGAAATGTGAGAAAATTTACATGAAAACATTCACAAAACACCAACAAAAAGCTCTTCAAAATGGCTATCAATCACATTGCCTTGTTGAAAAAATGTATTTGATATCCTGTCGGTCACGAATGTATTGCCATTTTAATTACAGATAACAATTTATCAATAAAATATGTTGTCTATGGCAAGTACCCTAAATGAAAAAAAAAAGTTTTTAGGTATGTTTCATGGACGTACTATACAGCATGTCCTACAACTATTCCTAGACGAATGCGCATTATATTAGCTATCAGGTGCAAGAATGTGTGGGAGACGTTAAAGAAAATTACAAGTTTAGAGCAGAGCCATTCGGAAATGTCGTGCTACGCATGCGGGTTCATGCATTCGATATATAATTTATACTGGCCCGCCCTCGCTACGCTTAGGTGAAGACTGTAATTTTTGTTCAAATGCTTGTATTATACTCAATGACTGGTGTCGATCCTAGCATGATTCTCTAAACCTAAACTTAAATTTGACAGCAGTATATCCTTGTCATTCTCTATACAGAATGAAAAGGAGAGACTGATGTTAAATTTAGTTTTTAGTTTAGAGAATCACGCCGGAATTGGCACCACTTTCTTCATTATAATTATAAATGTTCTTCCAATCCAAGTAAAAAAATCAGTTGCGTAGTTTAGAACCCATTGTACTGAATGCACCAATGCTCTGCTGTTCTGATTTGAAAAAATATATTTGTATTGGGTAGTTCATTGATCTAAGAAAGCTATAGGCTATAAGATCAGGCTACAACAAGTATCAGTGGAGCAAAAACAGGTAAAATATTTCATTTGTAAGATTTCGTTGCGTGGGCTGGGTAAACGCTTAAAGTTGCAAACCCATAGACTACAACGAAATTGTTCCCTTTCAAAATTTTTGTAAAAACGTCCTGTCGCGGACGCATATGTCCATATTTTAAATTTGACCCACTATAACCTTTTTCTTTAAATTAGTGAAACCGCAGCGGATCTCTAGTTGTGACCTAACTGTAATAGTTACACATATGGTATCGCGAACTTTTTTGAAGATATTGGTGTCGATTCTCGTATGATACTCTAATCTTAAAACTAAATTTAACATCAGTCACTCATTTTCATTCTGTATAGGAATGACAAGGAAACGCTGATGACAAATTTAATTTTAGGTTTGGAGAATCAAGCCAGAATCGACACCAGTGATGTCCTCTCAATGGTGCCAATTCTGGCGTGATTCTCTAAACTTAAAACTAAATTTAACATCAGTCTCTCCTTTTCATTCTGTATAGAGAATGACAAGGATATACTGCTGTCAAATTTAAGTTTAGGTTTAGAGAATCATGCTAGAATCGACACCATTGTCTTCTATAAATTTTAGTAATCACTTTGCTCTATTGTCTATGTCTTCGGCAGCGTACGTGATAATTGCGATTTATGAGTGTCCGTGATGCTAGCGTACCCACGATCAATATACGGTTTTTCGTTATGCCATTAAATACTGCGTAAATAGTGCCAAATTAGTGTAAAAATAAAAAAAATAGTGCCTCTTTAATTTAAGAAATAAAGACCATTTTTACTGTGTACGCTATCATGACGTCAAGCTAGCGTACCCATGGCCGACGCCAAGAACGGCATATATTTAAGCAACGAAATTGACACACAAAAATAGTTCCCAAATAGTGCCCTGGCTTTACAAAATTTCATAAAGGACCAAAGATATTGAACTAAACATTCTTAGCTGGCGTCAACCTGGCGTACCCATAATAGTTCTCATAGAAAATGAACTTTTCTCGTTATCAATTCTATATGTATAAATAGTGTGTCAAATAGTGCCTCTAACAGTAAAAGTATTTTATGTGAATCCGCATCACAACAATATATAAAGAGGGTGTTAAATTCTAGGAACAAATGTAATTGTAGTACAGTTACACACAAAATTAATTTATGCACTAAGAGATTATCTATATATGTATTTTTACTAAAATAAATAGGTACTTTTAAAAAGATATTTTATTTCAATTCGAATTCACCAATCATAAATTCATATAAGAATTTCAACCTACCTACTAAGTACCTTACTTACCTACTATACTACGAAAATATTATCACTTCTGTACATGACTGTACTTCATATGTAAAAATAATTTAATTGCTTTTTTATATTGTTTTACTGCGAATTAACATAAAATACTTTTACTATTAGCGGCACTATTTGACACACTATTTATACATATAGAATTGATAACGAGAAAAGTTCATTTTCTATGAGAACTATTATGGGTACGCCAGGTTGACGCCAGCTAAGAATGTTTAGTTCAATATCTTTGGTCCTTTAAGAGTATTGATTATGAAATTTTGTAAAGTCAGGGCACTATTTGGGAACTATTTTTGTGTGTCAATTTCGTTGCTTAAATGCTGTTCTTGGTCTAATATATGCTGTTCTTGGGGTCGGCCATGGGTACGCTAGCTTGACGTCATGATAGCGTACACAGTAAAAATGGTCTTTATTTCTTAAATTAAAGAGGCACTATTTTTTTTTATTTTTACACAAATTTGGCACTATTTACGCAGTATTTAATGGCATAACGAAAAACTGTATATTGATCGTGGGTACGCTAGCATCACGGACACGATTTATGATTATTTTTAGGTATTTTTCTAACTTTTTTCAAAATATACTGGTGTCGATTCTGGTATAGTTCTCTAAACTTAAAACTAAAGAAGGATGCCCATTTGTGACCTGTCAAATCTGTAAAAAAAATTTGCATGTATAATTATGTGACATACCTCAAAAAAAAGGTAATTATTCGCTTATTACGAAATCAAAATATCAACAAAAACTACAATACAGTTTTTTCAAAAATAATTTTTGAAAATAATCATTATGTAAGTACATTTTTTGCTATCACACGAACGCATCCATTAGGGAAGAGTATTGTATCAAAGTAAAATGACATAATTATGAACGCAGCTTAAATGTAGATTCGCACTCTCCTTTCCAATGTTGCCAGTCATGCGGTAAATACCGTATTTAAATGGTAATGTAATACTTAAAAGGCATGGCTTTAATTTAAAGTTTCTTTCCGTTCTTAACAAAGACTGGCCATTTTCTTAGTGAAACATGACCGAAATAGTTAGGACTCCATCATCTCTTCGGCTGACTACATGAGAAGGAAATTCGTTCCGAAAAAATGCCAGCAATAATGACAGCTGCTCATAGTACCAATCATCTCAATTAATGGAAGGTATTGTAATTTTATTTTAGATTATTACCTACTTATATACTTGTCTACCAGAGATTTAAATAATACATAGTTAAATGTCTTAGATGTCTATAGATATAATTAGGTAAAGGTCAAGATTATCATTTATTCATTCGCTTGCAGAAACTAAGACATTAAGTACCTACTATTTCAATAAAATAATTGAAACTGAATTATTGATTAAATATAAAAAAAAACTTGTTTAATTCCAAAGACAATATTATAAGGATGACACCTCAGCATGATACATGTTATGATATTAATCCTTTTTTCTTCAATCCTCAGATCAAGCTTCAATCAAACAAAACAAGCGAATTGAAATAAATACCTAGCTGGGCTAAGACACCACAGCTGTGACAGCACACAAATGAATAATCTTATGCTGGCACTTCACTTGGCTATTCATGTAAACTTGACTTCAGTCTGTCCTTTTCTTTCCTTAAAACATGATAAGGACAGACTGTTGTCAAGTTTACAAATAGCCAAGTGAAGTTCCGGCATTAAATAATCTATAATCAATCTCGTAACCACAGAGTAAGTAAATGACATCTTCAGCAGTTGAATAACCTCAGAATTAGTTTTCGTTATAACTTCTATTCCTCATTGCCAAATCAAACCAAATTAGCAACATTATTTCAGAAGATTGTAATAATTAATTAACAACCTCAACAGTCAATATACATCCATAAAGAAAAAACCGAAGTGACAGGTTTTCGAATGTATGGGCAGTGGGCATTGTTCTTTGACAACAGTGCATCCCTGTCGTTTTCTATACAGAATGAAAAGGAGAGACTGATGTTAAATTTAGTTTTAAGTTTAGAGAATCACGCCGGAATCGGCATCAGTATAAATTTATAATAAAGTTTAGCGATAGTTAACAGATTTTTAGCAAATAAGTTTTCCCATATCTGGTGAAATTAGGGAGACGGTCTCTCTAATTGCTTTTGATAGATGTGAGTGATAATCATCGAGCTATTTAGTGATCCTACTGTTTTAATATAACGACAATGGTGTCGCTTCAGTCGTGATTCTCTAAACTTAAAACTAAATTTAACATCAGTCTCTCGTTTTCATTCTGTATAAAGAATGACAAGGATACATTGATGTTGATTCTCGCGTGATTCTCTAATCTTAAAACTAAATTTAAGATCAGTCTCTCGTTTTCATTCTGTATTTAGGATGACAAGGACACACTGGTGTCGATTTTGGCAGGATTCTCTAAACTTAAAACTAAATTTGACATTAGTCTGTCCTTTTCAATCTGTATAGAGAATGACAGAGATACCTTGGTATCGATTCTGGCGTGATTCTCTAAACTTAAAACTAAATTTAACATCAGCCTCTCCTTGTCATTCTGCATAGAGAATGACAAGGATGCACTATTGTCAAATTTAAGTTTAGGTTTAGAGAATCATGCCAGAATCGACATCAATGTTGTCAAATTTACGTTCAGCTTTAGAGAATCATGCCAGAATCGACACCACTGTTGTCAAGTTTAGGTTTAGAAAATCATGCCAGAATCGATACCACAATTGTCAAATTTAAGTTTAGGTTTAGAGAATCGTATCAGAATTGACGCCACTATGTGATATTTGATACTGGTTCTGAAAAGCATCGATAGATTTATGCATTCTTCTCTTTAGTTGCACACAGGTGTCGATTCTGGCGTGATTCTCTAAACTTAAAACTAAATTTAACATCAGTCTCTCCTTTTTATTCTGTATAGAGAATGAAAAGGATGCACAGTTGTCAAATTTAAGTTTAGTTTTAGAGAATCATGCCAGATTTGACATCACTGTTGTCAAATTTAAGTTTAGGTTTAGAGAATCCTGCTAGAATTGACACCACT